AAAAAAAAAAAACAAAAAACAAAAAAAGAGGCTATTATGTGCCCATAATTGTTTACCCTAGTTATGGATGAGTTAACCAACACATAACAAGACGAGTTCCCATGGTGTATGCTATTTGCAAGATGGCGTTGTACTAATTGATGAAACCAATGAGGATGTCAATCAAAAGCTTGAACTATGGAGCTCTCTAGAGAGTAAAGGTTTTTAGGGTAAATAGAAGTAAGACGGAATATATACACTACAAGTTTAGTTAACATAAGAAGAGTGAAATTGAGATGAGATTAGGTGGGATTGTGCTGCCTAAATCCAAATAATTCAAATATCTAGGGTCATTGTTGCAGGACTATGAAATGATAGATGGATATGTTACACGTAGAATCAAAATGGGATGGTTGAAGCGGAAAAGTACTACCGAGTGTTATGTGATAGCAGGATGCCTCTCAAGCTGAAAGGTAAGTTCTATAGAACAATTTAAGACCAACAATGCCATGTGACACCGGATGTTGGGCTACTAAAGTCCTACACATTCACAAGATGGGTGTCTCAGAGATGCGAATGCTAAGATGGATGTGCGGTTATACAAGATTCGACAAGATTAGAAAGATCACATTTGTCAAAAAGGTGCAAGTAGCAGTGGCACTCATGGAGGATAGAATGAGAGAAGATCGCTTGAGATGGTTTGATAAATGTTTTGCGCCTATCTCCAGATGCATCTATCCATATGTGTAAAGCCATGGTGAGTTAATATGTTAAAAAGGACGAGGCAAACCTAAACTCACATAGGAGGAAGTTGTCTCGAAAGATTTACGGTCTCTTGTAAATAATGTAGACTTAGTGAAAGATAAGGCACAATGGAAGAGAAAGACTTGTGTAGGTGATGCCAATTAATTCAATTAGTTTATAGTAATATTCATTTTTTTACTAGCACCCAAGGGTGTGGCCTAGTGGTCAGTGAAGTGGGTGAGAACCATGATGTTTCAGGTTCAAATCCCAGCAGAGGCAAAGACACCATAGGTGATTTCTTCCTATTTGTTCACGCCTTGGTGGACAGAGTTACCTGGTACCTGTTGTTGGTGGGAGGTATCCCGTGAAATTAGTCGAGGTGTGTGCAAGCTGGTCCGGACACTACATTTATTAAAAAAAACTCATTTTTTTGCTATTTTGTATAATGTTGGCTTGAGATAAACTTAAAGGCGCAATGTGATTAGTGAGAATTCATATAGTCGACCCAACTTATTTGGGATTGAGGCGTAGTAGTAGTTCTTATAATCGAGAATACTAGACAAAGGATGATGTCAATTGGAATTAGAAATACGTTTAAAGAAGTTTCGAAATGGCATAAAACTTTCTCATGATGGACATTGCTGGAGAGATCTCATAGATTGTGTTTTCTGCTTCAATTGATTAATTTCAAAAGAGGAAGAAGTATCTTAGATCAAGTCAGGCGAGTAGGTTTGAGAGATTATTACTTTTGCTGAAAATAATAGCAAGCTAGAGTAATAGCCTGTGC